ACACACTCACACACACACACACACACACACACACACACTCACACGCACACACACACACACACACACACGCACACTCACACGCACACACACACACACACACACACTCATACGCACGCACACACACACTCACACACTCACACACACACACACACACACACACACAAACACAAACACACTTACTCTCACACACGCACACACACAAACACAAACACACTCACAAACACACACACACACAAACACACTCACACACACACAAACACACACACACACACACACACACTTCCTCTTGTGGCTCTCTTGGTGCAGGAAGGAAGTCGTGAGCTGGGTTCTGCAGTGATGCCTTGGTCGCACTACGCCTTTATTTTTATCCCCCCTTTACCATCAGCCCTCTTGTCACCCTTACAAACCTGTGAAACCCAGCCATGCGTAATGTGAAACTGACCCTCTTTAACCAAACTGGACCAGCCCAGCCTTTTCTCATCCTGGTCCTGTCAAAAGGATGGATGTTCTGGAGGAAACGAAGAAGGTTTAAGAAGAAACCACAGTCAGATTTCTGGATTTCTTGACAGCCACTATCTGGACAGTTTCAAACCAACAACAATCTGTATTTTTTCTTGCAAGCAGCAGAATATACAAATAGAAAGGCGAAAATGTTTTATTTCTTGGAACAATTTCAGTTATGTGTGTATGGATGTATTCTCACACACACACAAGCCATTAGGTTTAAGCAGGAAGATGTCAACCCAACAATGTCAGTGATTAGTAGTGCATGTTTTTTTTTCCACGGAAAATTAATATTTTAAAGCCTGTAAAAGTCCTGGAAATATCTATAGTGAATCTACACTCTTAAAAATACAGCTGTACCAAAGGGGATTTTCATAGAAGAAACATTATGGGTTCTTCAAACAACCGTTCAGTGTTTAAAACAGTTAAAAACAGTTATTAAAAGAACCATTTTTTCTTAGTGTGAAGTCTTGTCGGGTCCTAAAATATTCCTGACCCGAATCACCTGACGTGCATAAATTACGTTTTTTAAAGGACATCCTGACCCGAGACAGACCGGATAAAAATAGACCCGAAGGCTTTTTTTTTTCTAATTTGTGACCCTGGAGCACAAAACCAGTCATAAGGGTCAATTTTTTTGAAATTGAGATTTATGCATCAGCTGAAAGCTGAATAAATCATCTTTCCATTGATGTATGGTTTGTTTGGAGCGGACAATATTTGGCTGAGATACAACTATTTGAAAATCTGGAATCTGAGGGTGCAAAAAAATCTAAATATTGAGAAAATAATCTTTAAAGTTGTTCAAATGAAGTTCTTAGCAATGCATATTACTAATCAAACATTAAGTTTTGATATATTTACAGTAGGAAATTTACAAAATATCTTCATGGAACATGATCTTTACTTAATATCCTAATGATTTTTGGCATAAAAGAGAAATGTATAATTGTGACCCATACAATGTATTGTTGGCTATTGCTACAAATATCCCCCAGCGACTCAACACTGCTTTTGTGCTGCAGGGACACATATGTTTCTGATTTTTGACTTGATTTGGCTGCTGCTCTATTACTTTCTTTTATTTATTTGCTTATTTATTATGACTGATTATATTATTGCCTGCCTCATGCATACACAGAGAAAACGCGGAGCGAAATGAAGCGAGTCCATATGGCTCCATATGTGCGATGTATTTCTCACAAAACGTGCAAGTGTGCATCGAGGATAGTTTGATCCATCTTATTAGGTCCATTCGGAAAAAGCACATTTTTTAAAGTTACCCGAGACCAGAGGCCACTGATGCCGAACCTCTGGTTTTTGGATCATTTTAATAAACTAAAGAACCTTTTTCCACAATAATGAACATTTTGTGGTTCCATGGATGTTATAGGCTCTTCATATCAATAAAGAACCTTTAATGTTAAGAGTGTAGATTGATTATCTAGTTTCTCTTTGCTCTAAAATATCTTTGTGACTGTAGAGTCGCATCTGCTCGTTGGACTCATTTGGGCACTAAAAATGTAGAATAGTTTAAATCTATCGATATATGGGGTAAGTTGTCACAATGGTAACTTGCTGCTTTTTTACACTGATTTGAAAAGATTTTCATTTAAACATGCAGTACTATATAAAGCCTATACATACAAATAAAAAAAAAAAGCACACAGGAGGACAAAACCTGATTAAAACTAAGGCTGTATTTACACACAAGGGTTAAAGCGATCCAGAAATAAACATTGATTCATCATTCAGTCACCTTTGTGTTGTTCCAAACCCGTAAAACTGCCATTCATCTTCAGACATGCATGAAGATAATTTTGCTCATCCATTGAAAGTCCATGCAACCAAAATGTTTCAAAAAGTTGCATTGTAAAATAATTTGTTTGAATAAAGCGACTTAATCCAAGCCTTCTGAAGAGACACAATCACTTTGTATAATGAACCAATTTAATTTAGGCTTTAATTTAACGTTATACACTCCAAACAAGAGTTAAGATATGTTTGTAATTTGTATGGACTGTAGTAATCATAGACATTTTTAATAACAAACTTGCCTACTTGTAAATGATTAGATTCAGTGTGCAGATGAGAGGATAGGATTGCTAATTAATAATTGTGGATTTAAGCCAGTGTTTTAGTGCTGTTTCGTACTGGCTCAGCTTACTGAAATATTTTGAGCATTTCAATACGCACTCGTTTGAGCATCAGCATCAAGCCTAAATAAACTTTTGACAGGAACTGCGAAGGCAGTAAATACCGAAGCTGTAAAAGCTGTGTGTTGCGGAGCAGAGAGTAATCTGCATCTGGAAAACATCATGTACGCAGGATGTCTCGTAACTCTGTGTTTACTGCTCCGGTTACGACCTTCCCACCGCTCTGTCAGCGTCACAGTCTGAATGAAGACCTTAACCTAAACTCTCCTACAGTGGCCCTGAAATGCTTTCTTTCACACAAATGTAACCAAAGGTGTGTGTTACTTTGTAGCGTCATTTACAACAGTTTTGAACGCGGCTCAGCCAATCAGAGTCAAGCACCGGAACTCTCCGCTTTATAAGGTTCTTTATGGAACCATTTAGACAAAAAGGTTCTTCGCATCGTGAAGCACCTTTATTTTTAAGAGTGTAAATATGTATTTGTAGCATGAAATAAATGTATTTCAAACACATTTTAGTATATGTATTTTTCACTAGGGTATGAGCTCATTCTGATCACTAAACTACAGTCTCAGTGGCCTGTAATGATTCTAAAGGCAGCCGAGCTGTGAGTAGGAAGCTTGTGCATTGCTGACTGTGGCGTTCTGATCTGGTGTTCTCCAGTCTAGCCGGCGTGTCGCGCAGCGTGACGCTGGTGGTGGCGTATCTCATGACCGTCACGACTCTGGGATGGCAGGAGGCTCTGGCTGCGGTGAAGGTGGCCAGACCTTGTGCTTCACCAAACATGGGCTTCCAGAAGCAGCTGCTGGAGTTTGAGACCAGCCAGCTACAGCAGGTGACTCCTCCTCGCTTTACGACTGGAAATAGTGTGGCACTATCTTCACAAACATGGCAGCCATATCAACTGACCTGGAATTATGTCAGTGGCCCTTCTAAATAACCCTGTGAAGCCTGACATATAAAAAATAGTCATTTTTTGACATAGAAGGATTATTGCTTTTATAAAACGGTTATTCCATATACGTAGTAAGGTTTCACAAAATAAAGCAGAGCAAATAAAGTGTAGTGATATTAATAAACACAGTATTCTTCCACCAAACAATGTAGCTCCTCAGAAACAGTTGTGGTTGCTACAAAGTGGTTGCCGAGCAACACTTAAATGTAACCAAAGGTGTGTGTTACTTTGTAGCGTCATTTACAACAGCTTCGAACGCGGCTCAGCCAATCAGAATCAAGCACCGGAACTCTCCGCTTTATAAGGTTCTTTATGGAACCATTTAGACAAAAAGGTTCTTCGCATCGTGAAGCACCTTTATTTTTAAGAGTGTAAATATGTATTTGTAGCATGAAATAAATGTATTTCAAACACATTTTAGTATATGTATTTTTCACTAGGGTATGAGCTCGTTCTGATCACTAAACTACAGTCTCAGTGGCCTGTAATGATTCTAAAGGCAGCCGAGCTGTGAGTAGGAAGCTTGTGCATTGCTGACTGTGGCGCTCTGATCTGGTGTTCTCCAGTCTAGCCGGCGTGTCGCGCAGCGTGACGCTGGTGGTGGCGTATCTCATGACCGTCACGACTCTGGGATGGCAGGAGGCTCTGGCTGCGGTGAAGGTGGCCAGACCTTGTGCTTCACCAAACATGGGCTTCCAGAAGCAGCTGCTGGAGTTTGAGACCAGCCAGCTACAGCAGGTGACTCCTCCTCGCTTTACGACTGGAAATAGTGTGGCACTATGCTTAATATACTAAAAATGATGCTTTGGTACTTCTTAAGATAATCCTAAAATAATCTAAGTGTACTCAACTGTGCTATTTTGGGACACCTTGAATATAAGAACTAAAATGTGCTTTAAACATACTATCTCTGTATTTAAAAAATGTATTTCGTTAGTACACTTGAGTGTACTAGTGTATGGGTTCAAGTGTACTACAAGTGGTAACTAAATACATTTTAAAAATACTGAGATAGTATGTTAAAAGCACATTTGAGTTCATATGTTCAAGGTGTCCCAAAATAGCACAGTTGAGAACACTTAGATGCTCTTAAGTACTAAAGAATCATTTTTAGTATATTAAGTACACAATCAGTGTGTGAAAATAGAGCACTTTAAATACATTATGGAAGTGCACCTGGGAAAAAATAATATGGTAGACTGAGTAGTATATGCTATTTCTCTGTCGGACAGCAGGGGGCAGCATATTCAACACTGTTGAACCAGATTGGTAACAGATTTGAAGTCACTTGATATCAAATAGGCTGCTTGATGAGTTTCGTATTTAAGCTATTATTTGCTGAACTTATTTTGGGGGATAAAAGGACCCCGAAAAGTGTAGGGCTCTGTGGAAATTCCAAACACATGAAGACACAAAGACTTAGACATTGGCCCCTGTTGACAGTCTGAGAAGAAGTTAGTGAACCCCGTGTTGTTCCGTGACTGCTGCGATGGCCAGCTGTGAATTTCCTCAAATCAAACCGACACAAGCACACATCAAACCCCTGGATAACTCATGACGAGCGCCGGGAGATTCTCTGGCATATTTTATCGACAGATATTTGTTCCACCGCGTGTGTGTGTGTGTGTGTGTGTGTGTCGCAGGGATTTCCCGTATGCTGGATGTTTATTCTTTCGGTTCTGTCCGTTTCTCTGAAGTCTTCAGCTCTCAATGGTGCTGGAGAAAGACGCTTCCACGTAACGCTCCACCCATCTCTCCACGCGCTTTGAATTATTTAAGAGTAGAAACACCTTCCTCTGACATGACTTGAGAAGTGTCGGCTTTGAAAGCGGAGCTGTCTGCATTCACAAAGGTAAGACTTGAGAGGCTTGATCTGTGTGACAACTGAGCTTGACTGTTAAAGAAAATGAACTATTATACGCATGCAGCTTGTTTATTAATAATGCTTATGCTTCATGCATTATAAGCTACGAGTGCCCTTACATACTCATATGCTATCTATATTTTGTTTCTTTAAAAAAAAAAAAGTAAACTACATTTAAGTAGCGTTTTGACTTGCACGTACACTTTAAAAGTTGAAGCTTCGTTCTTTGAACGCATTCTTTTCATGCAACATTTTCTCTCGGTTAAGAGCACCTGCACTAGACGTTTTAAATGTGTGTATTATTGCGGAATATGCATGCATGAACTCATCTGTGAATCGCTCTTCTGCTCACTGCATGTGCACCTGCTCGCGCATGCCTCCCTCCCTCACAGACATGAACTTAGATGGGGACAGCAGCATGTCAGTCAGTTGTGGGAATGGCAAGCTTAGACAGTGGCTCATCGATCAGATTGACAGCGGGGAGTATTCCGGCTTGGTTTGGGAAAATGACGAGAAAACCATTTTCAGGATTCCCTGGAAGCACGCGGGGAAGCAGGACTACAACCGCGACGAGGACGCGGCGCTCTTCAAGGTGATTGAGGATGAAGCTGGAGCTCTGCTGACTCTTTCAATGATGGAGTGTCTTTAGACCTGTGTTGTGGCCCCACAAAGCGTTAGGTCTCGTATTATCAAACCAAGTGCCTTTATTCCAATAAACACTGCACGCTTTTCAAGCTAGACGTTTGACGAAACTGATCAAACAATAGATCTAGTGTTGAAAACGAAGACAGAAGTGGTTGCAAAACATTAATGGATAATGCCATAGTTATTATACTGAACCACACTTGTGCTTCCTCTGTCGGACACCTGTGTGAACTTGACCTCATCCCCTAAAAGTCACCGAAATACCACCTGATTCAGAGTAATAAACCAAGATTATAAAGAAAAGCGCAGTTTGTTCCGAGAAAAGCCACGTGGTTTGATATTTCGTTATCTGATGCGATGACATTCACGTGACTTACGTTTACAAATACGTTTTTGGGGCAACTGTGTGAATGTATATGCATTATTATTATTATTAAGCCTCATTTTTGCATGCATGGGTTAGGATCCTACTGTGGGATCAATTATTAGGAGTAATTTCCTATCAGAGAAAATGCATTCGTGTTGAGCTGAGAAAGACCATTGCATGTTAATAGATTGGCATTCTGTTGCAGTAGAAACAAAAGCAATGACAATTCAGTCAATCAGACACACTGAACAGCATTTTATTCATTACATAATAGCACCCTTATTAACAATAATCATATTATTAACAAGAATCACGTTGCTCGTCCATTTTAAGAGTCTTTAAGTATTTTATGCATTAGTATTCTGAGTTCCTACTAAGCGAGCCAGTTCTTCATGGCCATTTTCTTCTGCTTCCTCTCTCACTCTTCATCTCTTCTCATCTTCACGCTGGTGTTGTGGTCTGTAGGCTTGGGCCCTGTTCAAAGGCAAGCACAGAGAAGGCTTGGACAAACCAGACCCTCCAACGTGGAAGACGAGGCTCCGCTGTGCCCTGAACAAGAGCAATGACTTTGATGAGCTGGTGGAGAGAAGCCAGCTGGACATCTCAGATCCTTACAAGGTCTACAGGATAATACCAGAAGCAGCCAAGAGAGGTAACGTCCATTTTTGGATTGCATAGCAATGATATGCATTTAATATATCACAACATGCATCAGTAGAAGGTCTGTTGGAACTGTGCATTGGTTGCCTTCTAATCCACAAATATTAAAGGGGTGCAGTTTTTGCTCTAGGTTTGATGCATTGCATCAATCCCGCTCTTACTGAAAAGTAAGCTCACAAAAGAGCTGTGAACAGAGCTAATTTGCTACACAAAGGTGAAGGCATGCTATGCATTCACATTAAATATTGCTACTTGCCCTCAGTATGTAGCAGGAAGCTAAGAGGAAGTCACCACATGTGCTAAAATCCCTCAAGCTTTTTATAGAGAGCTTCGGTTACCAAGTGCACAGCAGTAAAGCAACACAAATCACCCATCAGACCTTGCATAAGACGAGCTTGTGCTTCGAGATGCTGGGCCAAGGCCACGAAGACCTCTGGTGTGTGCCCATAAAGCGTTCAGGGGTTTGCAGAATTTCAGTAATTTTATAAAAATGACATATATTGTAGATTCACACCTTAATATAGTTGCTATTATTAGTGCTTGTGAACTACCTGCGAAGTGGAGGCAAGAACTGAACTGTAAGTGAACGAATGAGTGCATTTCGTTTTGAGGATAAACCAGATGTAGACACTAAAATGTACAGAAAATGGACCAAAAATATTAATATAGAGTATGATAATTGATCGCTCACCTTGGACTGACTTTTGACCAAAGTCAAATCCTCTAAAGAATGGAAACGTGACTGTGGCGTAAACTATTTTTATTTACAAAAAGATGAACTGTTCGATATGTCCAGCCTCAGCTTCTTTTAACAAAATAAATACATCAGCAAAGGAAGGAAAACTGGCTTTTTTAGCACACTCTCATGGCAATTCGTAACTGTTTTACGTTTTGGCAAATTGGTGGCAAATTCGCACGATCTCATTCGTATGTTTTCGTACGATCTGCTGAGGTTTGGGTTTAGGGCTGGACCTTCATGCTTAATTTGTATTTGTATTTATTTTATTATTATAATTTTTTTTTTTTTTACAAAACGTGCATTCCCGTACGAATCAAATTGTACAAATTCATATAAAATCGCCAACTCTTTGAAATAGTTTTTATGTTTTGTTGTGAGCTCAAGTTGGCGCTTTAGCAGCTTCTCGAATTCAGTTCTCGTGTTCAAAGCAAACCAAGAAGAAAGTCAGAAGCTTGAAAGTGCAATTATCAATTATTGGCCACAGTTATCACAATTATAGCCAAATGCTCAAATTGTGTGGATATTTATTTATTGATTTATTTTTTGTAGGATTTGCAGACAGAGATTCATAAATATTATTGTGCAGTTATATATATATATATACAGGTTATGAATAGATTATTTTTTGCATTTTAGGCTCTAAGTCCAGCAGTATGGACGACAGCGCAGCACACGTGACTTCTATTAGTTATCCAATGCATTCTTCTTATCCTCCT